CCGAGGGGTGTCATGTGGAGAGGACAGAGAGGACAGAGCCCTTGTGGCTCCGGAGCTGCTGATGCGCAGAGACCCCAGAGGAGGCACGGCGCTGGGGCTCCAGCGGCAGAATGGGGGCAGCAGGTGGGGGCCCTGGCTTTCCAGGTGACACTCCGGGTCCTACCCCAGGAGCCAGGACTCCACCACAGGAGTTAAGGGGCGCACCGGAGGGGGGCAGAGTTGATAAAATCAGCAGAAACAGACCCGGAGATGAGCCACATGGTGGAACTTGCAGAACAGGGCCGAGAGGAGGAACAGTGATGGAGGTAAAGCCGAGAAAGGAGTCCAGGACGGGCAATGGTTGCAGAGTGGAATTATTTCAAGGGAGACTTCGGATCTATGAAAAGGAATCAAGTAGACATTCGAGAACAGCATGCCGCAGCACCTGACACAACGGAAGACAGCTCTGGCAGACTGAAGGACAGACCGGTCCTTCAGCAAGGACAGAAAACATCCCAACTGAACTCAGAGTAAAAAGGACGGAAAGAATGGAACATGGTACCTGAAGGGTGGGGTCCCGGTCTAAAGGCCCAATGGGCTGCAAGCCGAGGACCAGGAGAGGGTAGGAGAGCAGCAGTCTTTGAAGAAAAACGGTCAAGAATTTCCAGGTCTGATGAAAGAACTGACTCCAAAGCGATTCCCAAACAGGATAAAGCAGCTACGCTTAGGAAAATCAAGATACAGCGTACCTCTGCTGTAAACTAAGGATAAAGATGAATCTTACAAGCAGCAAGAATAAAGAGAACACACTGTTTTTCAGGGGGACAAGAGTGATACATACACTTGATCTCTCGACAGGAACAAAGAGACAATGGGATGGCATCTTTGACCTGCTGAGGGACAGATGCCACACGCCAGAATTCCTGATCCAGCGGAAATATCCTTCAGAAACGAAGGCTCATGAAAACGTTCTGTAACAGCACAAATCAGAGACTTAGTTCCAGCACACCTGCTCTAAATTACTGAAGGAAATTCTTCCGTCTGCACAAGATCATCTTGGACGGAAGTGCTGATGTGCAGGGAGGGGACCCAAATGGAAACACACAGGAAAATATGGGAGCGCAACTGTCTCTATGTAGACACGACACACAACCTTGCATACAGGAAATCCAAAGTCCCAAACTAGTAGAACTAATAACAGGTTTGGCAAAGTTCTGGGATGCAAGATCAACATATGGAAATCAACTGGGTTTCAATACACTAGCAATAAACCAGCTAAGAATGAAATGAGGAAAACCACTTCCGTGTAGAACGGCACCAAACACAAAATACTTACAAACACATGTAACAAAAGATGTGCAAGATTTAGACATTGAAAGCCACCCAATATTGTTGAAACAAATTAAAGAGCAAATAAATGCAAAGACATTCCATGTGCATGAATCAGAAGATTAATATTATCATGATGGCAGCACTCCCAGAGTTAATCTACAGAGTCAACACAATCCTTATCAAAATCCTAGCTGGCTTATTATTATTGGTTTTTTTTTTTTTTGCAGAAATTGACAAGATTGAAATTTATCTGGAAATAAGAGGAGACCCTGAATGAACAAAACGATGTTGAAAAAGAAGAACAAAGCTGTCGGGCTCACACTTTTTGACTTCAAAACTGTCTATGAAGCTAGAATAACCAAGACAGTGTGGTACCAGTATACGGACAGACATATAGATGAATGGGTATATTTGAGATTCTGAAAAACCCACATATTTATGGTCAATCCATTTTTTACAAAGGGGACATTACAATCCAATAGGAAAAAAAGTGTTTTCCGCAAATGGTGCTGGGACAAGTGGATACCTAGATTGAAAAGAATGATTTTGGTCCCTTACCTCACACCATATACAAAGTGCAGTTATGATAACCAGAGAAAGATGGTGAACCTAAGTATAAGAACCAAAATGATAGAGCCCTGATGAGGAAACAGCGGTACATCTTCATGACCTGGTGTAGGTGACGATGTCTTAGACATGACACCAAAAGCATAGCGATAAGAGAGAATACTAATAAATTGGACTTTGTCAAAATTAAAAACACATATGCTTCAGAAGCATCACCAGGAAAGTGAAAAATACCCCACAGAATGGGAGAAAATATTAGAAATCATATATCTGGCAAGGGAGAACTTTTCTAACTCAACATTAAAAAGACAAATAGCCCAATTTAAAAATGGGCAATGGTTTTGAATAGACATTTTTCTAAAGAAGGTGTGTAAACTGCCAATAAGGCCATGAAGTGATGCTCAATATCATCAGCCCTTGGGGACTTTCCAGTCAAAACAACGAGATAGATGCCATTTCATCCTCACTAGGGCAGTTGGCACACAGATAGACAACAGGCAGGTTAGGATGGATGTCCCGCAACTGCTGTGCTTTGTAAGGTGGTAGTTACTCTGGAAAATAGTTTGGTGGTTTCTCAAAAATGTTCAACTTTGAAGCGCCTGGGTGGCTCAGTCGGTTGAGCGTCCGACTTCAGCTCAGGTCATGATCTCGCAGTTCGTGGGTTCGAGCCCCACGTCGGGCTCTGGGCTGACAGCTCAGAGCCCAGAGCCTACTTCCGATTCTGCGTCCCCCTCTCTCTCTGCCCCTTCCCCTGCTCGTGCATGTGCTCTCTCTCTCTCTCTCAAATATATAAACACTAAGAAAAAGTTTAATGTTGAGTTACTATCTGACTTTGTGATTCTGCTCAAGTGTACATGGCCAAGAAAATCAAGCACATCCACGTGAAACCTTGTGCACGAACGGCCACTGTTGCTGCGGTCCTCACAAAAGCCACAAAAGGGGAACAAGCAAAACACCCGTCATCAATTCTTTCGGGGATACACATAGAAGTCGGATTGCTGAAATATGGTATTTCTTTTTTTCTTTCAATTTTTTTTAAAGTTTATCTATTTCTTTTGAGAGAGAGAGAGAGAAGAGAGAGAATGAGCGGGGCAGGGGCAGAGCGAGAGGGAGGGAGAGAATCCCAAGCAGGCTCCGCACCGTCAGCACAGAGCCCGACGCGGGGCTCGATCCCACCAGCTGTGAGATCACGACCTGAGCTGAAACCAAGAGTCAGATGTTCAACCCACCGAGGCCCCCAGGCGCATGGCATCTCTTGGTTTAATTTTTAGGAACCACCACACCGTTTCCCACGGCGGCTGTACATTCACCTTCCCTCCAGCTGTGCACAGGGTTCCAATCTCCTCACATCCTTGCCGATGCTGGTTATTTTCTGTTTTATTTTATTATTTTTAATAATAGCTGTCCTGGTGGGTGTCTACTTTCTGGGCCGCAGGGAGAGCGAGGTGGCAGCAGGGAGCCCAGGCAGGGGGTGGTCGGCACTCTGGGCTCAGGGCAGACGTTACCGTGGGGGCGGGGGGTGAGGATAAGTGGAGCTTAACGGACTTTGAGGTTAGAAAAGGTGTGGGCTACAAGAGACGGTCTGCGTTCGTCTTGAGGCCAGAGCAGGAGAGAGGCGGGCCGCCCCCCCC